GAAGACAAAAGAAATCACAGAAATATTGTGTGCACAGTTTAATCATGAAAGGTGTCACTCTCCAGAGAACAGCATGGAGTGGCCAAAAACCTCAGGCTGGCTTGGGATCAACTTTCAACAGAATCACAGCTTCGGAAAACCAAGGAATACGAGCCATTTCCAATCAAAGCAATGTTGAAGGTTTATTCATGAAAACAAAGAACCTAGGACTTGGAAGTGAACATTTTAAAAATCACTGTGTTCGACTCCATTTAAAAATATGGAATGAATTACTCCATTCTAGCAGAACTTAAGTGTACACAGCAATTCAACCGATCCCGGTAGTTCTTAGAAATATTCACATTTTGCATGCAGATGTTTTTTCAGTAGTGGGAAGAAAGATCTTTAGCCCATATGAAGATATCATAGATAAATAAATCTTATACCTATTTTCAAGATTATGATTGATACTATGAGACTTACCTTGTCAGTGTAACAGAATTGGACTTCTGACTTGAAAAGCAAGAAGTACTCTTAGTTCAAAGCTCTCAGTATCCTCAAATACTTTCCATAGTATGACTTGCTGCATTCTGTTTGCCAGTATCTTATTGAGGATTTTTGCATCTATATTCATTAGAGAGATTGGCCTATAGTTCTCTTTAATGAAATTGAAAGGGAAGCAATACTCCCAAATTCATTCCTGGAAGCAAGCATTACCTGATACCAAAACTAAAGAAGAGACAAGAGAAAGAAATAAAAGAGACAAGAAAAAGAAATAAAAGGAATAAAGATAGGAAAGGAAGAAGTTAAATTATCATTATTTGCAAGTGACCTGATACTCTACATAGAAGACCCCAAAAACTCCACCAAAAGACTTTTAGATTTAATAACCAAATTCAGTAGCATAGCAGGATACAATATCAACACTCAAAAATCAATAGCATTCCTGTACACAAATAACAATCTCACTGAGAGAGAAATTAGGGAAACAACACCTTTCACAGTAGCATCCAAAAGAAATTAAATACCTAGGAATCAATCTAACAAAGGAAGTTAAAGACCTTTACATTGAAAACTACGGTACTCTGAAAAAGGAGATTGAAGAGGATATCAGAAAATGGAAAGATATCCCTTGTTATTGGAAGAACCAATATAGTGAAAATGGCCATACTCCCAAAACTATTTTATAGAATTAATGCAATTCTCATCAAAATACCAATAGCATATCTTACAGAATTAGAGAAAACAATCCTAAAATTCATTTGGAACCAGAAGAGACCCAGAATAGTAAAAACAATTCTGGGCAACAAGCCAAGGCAGGAGGCATCACAATCCCTGATTTGAAATTATACTACAAAGCTACAATGATAAAAATAGCACGGTACTGGCAAAACAAAAACAAACAAAAGCAGACCCGAAGATCAGTGGAACAGACTAGAAGATGCAGAGACAACTCCAAACACACTTAGCCACCTTACCTTTGCCAAAGGAGCAAAATACCTTCATTGGAGGAAAGATAGCCTCTTTAATAAATGGTGGTGGAAAACTAGCTTTCCACATGCCAAAGATTAAAATTAGACCCATATCTTTCACCATACACTAAACTAAAATAAAAATGGATCAAAGATCTAAATATTAAAACAGAAAAACTAAATCTACTGGAAGACAGAATAGGTAGAACTCTCAAAGACTTTGGTGTAGGCAAAGACTTTATGAACAAAACTCTGATCACTCAGGAAAAATCACAAAGAATCAACAACTGGGATCTCATTTTATTAAAAAGCTTTTTCACAGCAAGAGAAACCACCAATAGAGTGAACAGACAACCCACAGTGTGGAAAAAAATTTTTGCCAGCTGTTCCTCAGACAAAGGACTAATATCTAGAATATATAAAGAACTGAAAAAAATCAGACCCCCCCAAATTTAAAGAACCAATCCGAAAATGGGCATCTAAAATAAATAGACACATCTCAGATAAAGTAGAAATGGCAAATAAATATATGAAAAATGTTCAACATCACTGCTCATTCAAGAGATGCAAATTAAAACAATGCTGAGATTCCATCTCATTCCAGAAAGAATGGCTGCTATCATGAAATCAGCCAATAACAAATGCTAGCAGGGCTCTGGGGAGCCTTCTCCACTATTAGTGGGAATGTACACTGGTGCAACCACTGTGGAAATTAGCGTGGAGATTCCTCCAAAAACTAAAACTAGAGGTTCCATTCGACCCAGCTGTTTCCCTTCTTGGTATCTTCCCAAAAGAATTAAAAACATCATATCACAGCCATATATGCACACCCATGTTTATAGGGACACAGTTTGTAAGAGCTAAATGTTAGAAATAGCCCAAATACCCATCAACCGACAAATGTATAAAGAAGATGTGGTTTTTCTATACAATGGAGTACTGCTCTGTCGTAAAAAAGGATCAACTTGAGACATTTCTAGTTAAATGGATGCACTTTGAAACCATATTCTTAAGTGAAATATATCAGATGCATAAATTTAAATACCACATTGTTTCTCTGGTGTGAGAGACTGAAAGTGGAAATAAGGACAAAAATGTATAATAGATATTGGGAAATGGGAAGAAAATATTCAAATGGGAAGAGGAACTAGGGAGGGGGAGGAAGAAAGAAAGGAAGGGACAGGAGAAAAGAATAGAAGAGAAAAATGGAAACAAAGCTTTTGTAAATAAGGAGAAGAGAGGTTGAAGGGAGGGGAGAGGAATGGGAAAAAATGCAAGATATATCATGTACTGGTACAAATTCCCTATGATGAATGCTGTCATTATGCACATCTACAATGTACAAATAAAAACCTTTTTTATTTGCCAGTACTGCTGTTTCGTGTAATGGAATGGAATGGCTACCATTTCACCGCAGTAAGTTGATGTCGACATCATGATGCCATCATGACATAATTAAGAACTCTATCACCTTCTCTACAGCCTTCCCTCACCCGCCCCTCACCACCCTTTTTCCCTTCCTCTCATCTAGTAACAGTCTCCTACTTCTATGTCATCTTTTTTAGGTTCCACATGTTAGGGGAAACATGCAAGACTTATCTTTCTGAGTCTGCTTTATTTCGTTTAACATGACGATCTCTAGATCCATCCATTTTCATGAAAATGACATCATTTCCACCTGTGTGTAAATATATATATGTGTGTGCATATCCTAACTGGTAGGGTATTTTCAATTTTTTAGCGTCATAGATGACATAACTCTGAAAGATCCTTGTTCTTCCTTTTTAATCTACATGGAAAATTATTCTTCGATGGCAGAAAATAATCTACTCGGCTGAAGGTAAGGACACGTGTGTATTTGTGCTGCTGGCACTGAGGTGCAGACCTTGCATATGCTACATGCTTTTGGTTTCAAATCTGACTCCTTCTTACTCCTTGATTATGAAGAATTTTTCCTAAGCCTTCCTCTAAAACATTTGCAGTTTCGCATTTATATTTTAGATCTATTTTGAGTTAAATGGTGAATGTGTGACATGATCTCAGTTCCTTTTGCTGCCTCCGGGTGTCTCCTTTACTGTAGCACTGTTCATTTAAAAGTTTATCTTCCTTCATTGAATTATCTCCCAGATGTATTTGTTTTCTACTGGTACTTTCTATTTTCTGTGAATATAGCTTTTAAAATCTCATTTTTAGTCTTTTAAAAATTTTCTGTGTTTGAATTCCCACCACAGTGAGTTGAATTGATCTTTTGGTTGTTTCACTGTTACACTAGGACTAATAGCCAACAAGCAGGACAGGGTGCAGCTCGGTGGGACAGCACTTCCCCCGGCAGGCCGGAGGGCCTGGGTTCAATCTCCAGGGCTGCAAATGGATAAAGTAAAACAGAAAAGTAGTGATGCAGCACTTAAAGTGGGCCAGACACTCCCCTGGATGTTTTACATATATCGATTAATCCTCACAATAATGTCATGAGGAAGAATTATGCTATTATACCACAATCCTACTATGTTATACTATTGCATTTTCTATGAGTCGCAGGAAGCCATTGGAGAGTTTTAAAAAGAGAGGATTTAAAAAGGTCTTTGACCTTGTCTCCTTCAGAAGGTTAACATTGACTCATGTTTCTGTCATCGGTCATGATGCTAACAAGTCCTCAGATCTGTTGCAGATGGAATCGCTTCTCTTGTGTGGGCTGGAACTCCAGGTGATGGCTGGGGGATCCCCCTATTCCCTCAGTTCTGTGTAATTATTAAACTTGGTATGACCAGTAAAAAAATAAAAATAAAAATAAAAAATAAAAAGGTCTTTGGGAATTTTTTAACAAATGTTTTCAGGTGTGTGTGGTGTAGGGACACACGCAGAGAAAAAATATAATAAACTCAATTATGCATCATCCAACTTCATTGATCCCAAAGAACTGAGAATGGAGTCTTGAGATTACCTGCACTCCCACCTTCTTGGTGACGTTATTCACAATAGCAAACAGGTGGGAAGAGCTTAAATCTCCATCAGCCCATGACACATGGACAGGCAAAGTATTCAGACATAAAAATGTCTGTATATAATGTTAATCTATCTAGCTATCTGTCTGTCTATTTTCAACTTGCCTGTTGTATTTTCCCTCCATGCACACATTTTTTTCTAGACTATTATAATCAAATTCCAGGTAGTACTGCATCTTTTTCTTTGTTACTTTAGTATCTCTATAAGAAAAAAAATTAAAAACCCACTCACAATAACCTTATCACAAAAAAGAGATGATTTCCTAAAATCTTTGCTCAGTGAATCTTCCTTTCTGGTTAATGTCTTCTTATTGTCTCAGAAATATCCTTTTATAGTCAGTTTGCTCACATCAGTGCGCATGAAGCATCTACCCATTCCAGTCGGTTTGGCTCTTTCTCTTGTCATCTATTTGTTGAACAAACTAAGCCTAATATTTGTCTTGAAAATTCAGTCTGGATATAGTAAACAAAATACAGTATACACATACCATGGAAAATTATTCAGCCTTAAAAAGGAAGGAAATGATGACACATGCTGCAAAGTAGATGAATTTTTGAGGACATTTTGCTAAGTAAAACCAGCAAATCACATACACTAAAACAAAACAAAACAAATACCCTGACTCCACTTACATGAGGCGCCTGGAGCTGTTAAAATTCAAAGCTACAGAAGTTAGGGACATGGCGTCCAGAGACTGGGGAAGGGGAGATGGGAAGTTATCTGCTGAGATCAGGGTTTCAGTTTAACAAGATGACAGCATTCTAGGAACTGATTTTATGAAAATGTGAATGCATTTAATACTATTGAACAGTACACTTAAAATGGTTAAATTAGTACATCACAATTTTAGGTTATTTATATTTTATCATGATTTTTTCTCTGGTCCTGAGGACTGAACCCAGGGCCTTCACACTGAGCTCCATCCCCAATCTCGTTTTTATTTTGAAACAGGGTCTTGCTAAATCACTAAGTTGCCCAGGCTGAGCTCAAACTTGCCATTCTCCTGCTTCAGCCTCTCAGAAAGCAGGGATTATAAGCACACGCCACCATGTCCAGGCTTATCACAATTTTCAAATTTAAAAAAATCATCCTGACTTGGTGGCACACGTGCACCTAGAATCCTGACTACTCTGGAGGCTGAGGCAAGAGGGTCAAAAATTCGAGGCCTGCCTGGGCAACTTAGCAAGACTCTGTCCTGCTGGTGTGTGTGTGTGTGTGTGTGTGTGTGTGTGGTGTGTGTGCGTTTGTAATGCATAATAGCTATGGCCGAGCGTGGCAGCACATGCCTGTAATCCCAGCACTCAGGAGGCTGAGGCAGGAGAATTGTCACAAATTCGAGGCCAGCCTGGATTACACAGTGAGTTCAAGTCCAGCCTGAACTACATAGCTAGACCCTGTCTCAAAACCCTAAAATAATAACAGTATTAGTTGCATTCATTTGGGGGAATATATATTTATATATTCTCCCCCTCTTCCTTATTCCCTTCTCCAAACTGTTTACCTGCCTCTTTCCTACCATCACTCCTTTATTTTACTCTTTAATTCATGTATGTTTTGGGTCTTCCCTTATAAAATAAATTGTACAATATTTAACTTTCTGTGTCTGACTTATTTCACTTAACATTATGGATTCAGAATCCATCCATTTTCCTGCAAATGACATGATTATATTCATAAATGCACATATATGTGTACATCATATCTTCTTTATTCGCCCATCTGCTGATGGGCTCTGGGCTGTTTGCACATCTTAGCTGTTGTAGCTTGCACTGCTGTAAACATGGGTGTGCATGTGTCACACTAATATGGTGTTTTTAACTCATCCAGGAATATAGCTCCAGAGAGCTATACCTAGGTCAAATAGAATTTCTATTTTTAGTTTTTGAGAAATATTCATATTGCCTTAAAAATTAAAAGGACCAGCTAGGCGTGGTGACACACACTTATAATCCTGGCACTCTGGAAGGCCGAGGCAGGAGGATTGCAAGTTTGGACCCACTCTGGGCAACTTAGCAAGACCCTGTCTCAGAATTAAAGAAATAAAAAAGCACTGGGGATGAGCTTGGTGTGAAGACCCTGGGTTTAATCCCCAAAACGACAGATGACAGACAGACAGGCTGGGTGTACAGCTTGGTGACAGAGTAGCTGCCTGCAGGTGAGAGGCCGTGGGTCCCCTCTGTAGCACGACCAAATATAAAAATCACTTTGGCTTGAGAGTGAAGTGTACAGTAAAGAAGGCCAGAAGCAGGGTGACCAGCTGGAAGGCTATTGCAGTTCCCCATGGGTGGTGACCGAGGCTTTGACTAGTGTGGTAGAGGTGGAGGTGTCTGAGTAGGGATCAGACCCGGGCAGAGTCTAGATGCACTGACACTGGATACGGGGGGTGAGGGAAGGGAGAAGCTGGGACCGGGCTCTGGGATCTTGGCCTGATCAACTGAGTGACCGTGCCATTTGGTGCGGCAAGGAAGTTGGGGGAGGAGCCAGTGGCCAGGTGGCAGGTTGATTACACTGGACTGTGTCCGTCACCCCACGGAGCAGGTAGCAGTTCTGGTTGTGTTTGGTTTCCTTGGCTGTCAGCTCCCTGCTGCCGGCTCTCCATTGACATGCTGGATGGCTTATATTCTATCGTGATCTGCCCTACAGTATTACTTCTGACCAAGAAACTCATTTACAGAGGAAAAAGTAAGCCAATGAGCCACTGGCCGTGGATTGCCTGGTCTTGTGGCAGTGTCCTGTCGGCAGAAGCAGGTGGCTCAGAAGAAGAAAGGAATGGTTTATTGGCAGCCAGCTCCTCGGCCAGCTAGAGAGACACCTCGAAGGACACAGGCTGCTCTCTGGCCAGTGGTGCTCTTCCTCCCCTACCAGGATGCACTTGGCCTGGGAACCAAGGGGTACAAGGGTTGGAATATGGGGGACTTCTCAAAATCGTACATGCTGACCTGCCTCCTTCATGCCAGATTGTCTGAGAAATCTTGATATGCAGAGGAGAAGTGCTTTCACCTGGAGACCATCTTCCAAAAGTGATCGACTGGGCTATCCTGTTAGTCAACCAATAAACACTGTGCCAGATTTGATTTTGCTAAGAAAAATAAAGCAAGCTGATGCTCTTGCACCTGATTATTCTGAAGCGCTTTGCACCTATCATGTGTAACCTAGCTCCCCAGGCCTTGGCATCTTCCATTTATATCCAGAAGTCTTCCTTGGGCTGGGGATTTAGCTCAGTGGTTTCGCCGCCTGCTGTGCAAGCGCAAGGACCTGAGTTCAATCCCCGGTACCAAAAAAAAAAGAAGTCTTCTGAGCACTGGCTTCTTAGGGTTGCTCACCTAGTGTTCCCGTTGCCATGTTCTTCCTTCACAGCTCCTCTCCCCTCCCTGATACCCACTGCTCAAAGGCTTGCTTGAGGAAAGCCATCTGCTGCCCTGGCACATGCCCACCTGTGTCTCTGCCAATTGTCCTTTAACACAATACTCTCCCAATGCCAGAGAGGTGGTGGAATCCATTCTCACGCTGTCACCTGGGCCCGTGGCGACGCTGTGCATTCCTAGTTTCTCCCAGAGTGTCTTTCAAAGGCAGCTGCTTCCATCTTTCCCTTTGCTTCTTGCCTGCGAACAATAATCAAGGCACTAATAAACTCTTTTCCGTAGGAACTAGCATTTTCTTCGTCCACAGAGAGCCTCAGGGGGCCTCTACAAGCAGCTGCCTTTCCTTAAAGAAAGCCTGAGAAGGCTAGGTGAGGAGGCATGCCTGCAATCCCACCACTGGGAGGCTGATGCAGGACTGCAAGTCCAAGCCCAGCCGAGGTAATTTAATAACTTAGTGGGACCCTGTCTTGAAATTCTTTTTTTAAGGCTGGGGATGTAGCTCGGTGTGAAGGCCTTGGGTTCAATCCCCAGCACTGCAGAAAGAAGGGGAGAGCAACCTGTGAGGCCTGCATCTCCCCGCCTGCCTCCTTCCCTCCTTTCCCCCAGGCCTGGGCTGGCAGGCAAGACAGGGAAATGAGCAGACAGAGCCCCAGTTTTTGCAGCTTGCATAGTCCCACCCCGTTTGGAGAAGCTCCCTGCCCAGGTAGCCACCATGTGACAGTTTACTCACGGTCAGATGTCCCACTTCTCGCTGGTAAAACCGGGAGGGGCCATCTGTGCTTCAGGAAACTCTCAGAGCTGTGTCAAAATCAAATCGAAACCAAACAAAAACCTCCTCCCCTTTGAGATTGGCAGTGCGTTTGCCAAAACCGGGGTCCTCCCCTAAAGCAGGGCAGCTCGGAGATGGCTCCACAAACTCTTGGCAATTGAGGCCTTGGCCCCTCCACTGGGGTGGTCAGCACTGGGCCCCCCGATGCAGACTACAAGCTCCAGAGCTCTCTCTTTTCTCAGACAATGTGCAATTCACCTAGGCAGTCCCAGAAGAGCTTTTACACTCCTCTCTCCTCCCAAATGTCTTTGGCTGCCCATCCTGTATGTCTCCAGAAGTTAGTGGTTTGTTTTCCATTGCAATTTCCCACAACCCACTCGTGCGTCTAAATCAACCCGGATTTCTGATAGTCTGGCCTCATCTCTGCAATCCAGTGTCTTCACGTCCCAAGTGACCCGCTACAAATTCCACTCTGGGGGTTGCAGGCAGTCTCTAGGGCTCCTGTGTCCTTTGACCTTGGACAATCTGTCATCTTCTGTGGCTTAGTGTCCTTCTGTGAGATGGGACAAACAGTAGTATTTACAGTGTAACAACATGCAAGGACCTTGCAGCACAGTCCCCTGCGTAGTAAGCAGTCAATAAACACCAGCCATCATCATTGCTATCACTATCAACACAGGTAGTAGGGCTGAGGCTGAGCCCACTGCCTGAACACGCAGAGCACAACTTGGTTTATTTTTCCACGACTCTATTTAGTTTCTGTTTTGTGGGCCCACTCCACTGGTGGAAGAAACTTCCTTTCAGTGAATGCAGAGGCTTCTCCCAAAATACAGACTCCCCTTCCCTTGGCATTGGGTCAAACCCCTGGATCTCTGAGGCCCTGGAGTTTAGGGTGTGCATCGAACCTGCTGAAGTCATCCCACAGGGTCCTAAATCAGGGGCCCACCCAGGTCTTGCACTTGGAGCTGATTCTCCAGAGCAAACCCAGGTGCCAAGGGAGTAGGCTAACAGAGAAGACCTCTTTGAGCACTGAATTTTCTTTGTAAAGGCAGGGGGAGAAACTAGGGAGGTTAGGGTAGGATAAGCATTTCTTTATTTCTTTGTTTATGTGCTGGGATGGAACCCAGGACCTCCTACCACTGAGCTATGCACCCAGATCTCAGACAAGTTTTTAGAACCTTAAGCAATGTGTTTTTTGTTAGTTGTCGTTCATTTTAACCCCATCAGACTTTTATCGGCTGTGGTTGACTATGAGGCGTCCATCATACATCACAGAACCTAGTTTACCTGTTTCCTTTCTAACTCTCCTTTCTTCCCCAACCTTAGAATCTATTTCATTTCAACTTGGAAAAGCCATCACCTTCTGTTCTTTCTAATCTAGTGTTTGTAGCACAAAAATTAATGCTGTGACTCTTTCAAGGCCAGGTGTTTTGATATTAAAATACTCAGATGTTTGGAACTCCAAAAGCAATTTCCACTTCCAGAACTGTTTCAGAAAGTGGCAAGAAGGATGGGATGAGTGTGCTCGAAGCAAGGCGAAGTATTTTGAGGGGGGTTAATAGCAACGTGTCTTTTGCTATAATGGACTTTTAAAAAATAAACATTTGGGCCGGGGATTTAGCTCAGTGGTTCCAGCGCCTGCCTCATAAGCGCAAGGTCCCAAGTTCGATCCCCGGTACCAAAAAATAAAATTAAATTAAATTAAATAAATAAATAAATAAACATTTGCCATACTTTTCAGTCACCCTTTGTGTGCTTG